AGAAAAAGCAGGAGAGGGAGAGAGGGGGGGGGGGAACGGGAGGAGGGGCGAGTCCTGGTGACGAATGGGGGCGCAATGAAGGGCGGCAAGGTCGACCTGTCCGGGATGCGCTGGCGCATGTGGTCGTGCTTGTCACTTATCCTCCAGCCGTTATCCTTGTCGTCGTCCGCGGCATTCTGGCATGCGCGGTCGATGCCATCAATCAAAGCGCTGGCGGCAGCAGGCGCGCTGCAGCAGTGGTGGGAGTTGAGACTTGGTTGGATCATGACCAGGAAACCCTCCTTCACGCGTGCCCTCGAGATGAGCGTGGACGTGGCCGCCATGCTCGGATGCCACCGCCTCAGCATGCTCCGACACGTCTTCTACAAGGGATGTGTCAATGTGCACCGCCTCCTGGGCCGCGACGGCCTCCTGCTCGAAGGCGTCTTCGTGCAGGACTTCAGGTGCGACTGCATCAACTACGACCAGAACTTCAACAACGGCGACATCGACGCCAGATGCTAGTTGTTGCGCTGTACTGGAAGGAGGCCGCCGCCACGTGGCTCGTCAGGGAGAAGGCGCAGCTCGGACGCGCCCGTGCCGCCGAGGAGGACGCCTCCAGCTCCCGGCGTGAGAACACCGAGTTCGCCGAGCTGCACCGGGCAGTCGACCACGAGAACGACGGCCTACGGCGCGCGCTCAAGCGGGCGGCAGAGGAGACCAGCACAGCTAGTGAGTCGCTCGAGTTCGTGACCAACATTCGTAGACTCCGGCGGGGTGATGACCGCCGCGAGCCGGAATCGCGTCCATTAGCAACATCGCGGAGCTAAGGTCAGCGGCGGTGGCGGTGGCATTGGTCGACGCCAAGTCCGCCATCGCGAGCACACTACCAAGAACTCCACTGTAACTTAGTATGTCATGTGGGTGTTAAACTCTTAATCACGTTGCATGTATACAAGCAAACACCGGTTATTTGCATCTACCAAGCCAATGCACGCAACCAAGCGCCAGACAAAAAAAATGCTCCCCTAATGCAGGCAGCCTATATGCTGGCAACCAAATTAAGTGCAGATGATGTTTTTTCTTACATTAGCTCAACCAGGCCTAGGTGAGACAAGTATGCAAAGTGCTAAAAAAATGATGTAGGTAACCAAACGCATCATCGATACACTTGGTAGCGTTCGACCAACCACACAGTTTAAAGCCTTGATGTAGTAGAACTATTTCTCGTAAACAAGCAAAAATACAAGTATTTGCTTCCGAAGGATATTGCAAAGGAATTACTTTGCCAATCGAACATGACAGATAATGTGTACGATCCTCCCACTCCCGCAAACATCCATATTCCAAGGCAAGTAAGCGTGTCAAGTTTCTCTCTTCCCAATCGGGAATTTTGCGAACACGGTGAAAAATCGATCAAGAACAACGCATAGTAGGACATACAAGAACACCGAATTTTGCCGACATCCGTTGATTTCACTTCATTATACATTTTCTCTTCTTCCTACTGTTTTCGCTTCATCATACAT